CGACTCCGACCGCCACTTCCGGTCGCCGCTTCTGGTCGCCAACTCCGACTGCCGCTTCCGGTCGCCACCTTCAACCGCTTCCAGTTGCTGACTCCGATCGTCGCTTCAGGTGGCCGTCGCCTCTGATCACCGCTTCCGGTCGTTGCCTCCGATCGCCGCCTCTGACCGCTGCCTCCGGTGACCAGTTAGCAGATATGTTCACAAAATCGCTTAAAGGACCTCGGATTGATTACATTTGTAACAAGCTTGGTGCATATGATATATATGCTCCAGCTTGAGGGGGAGTGTTGCAGATATTGTGAATATATTACAGATATTGTAGATATATATATTATGGCTATTATCCTCACTATCAATTAGGGATATGATTAGATTAGTTTCCATAATATTAGAGATTAGTATCTCTATCATTTATTGTATTCACTCTATAAATAAGATTGGTATCTGTACAACAATACACACAATTCCTGAATCACAACAATTATTAGTCTCATCACCATCAGAGAAGGGAAAAAACGATCACCTATCTATTGAGGGGCTGATATGAACATTGGCTGATTTGGTCCCTCTTTCCGCTAAGTAGTGATGTTTGTTGAGTCCACGTATCTGTGGGCATATTTAGATCAGATAAAAGAGAAAGTTATTAACTTCAGTACTGAGTACACTTAGTAATGACAAACGAGACTGATCTCCTGTTCTTGTTAACTGGTGTATGAAATTCTTCTGAAACTATTTCATCATTATAATAATTGAAAGTCTCACAGGATTGCTTGCACATATAGCTTTTAATAAATGAGATTCATTCAAAACCAATTAAACTTCTGTTTGATTGAGATACTTGTTTAGTGCTGTTCTGTTGATTATCTCTTCCCTCTTTCTTTGTTTACCAGAATTTGGATTCAAAGATTCATCACAATAACCTCCTCAATAACATACTTGCAAAGGTAATTTTCTTTACTTCTCATGAATTTGTACTCGTAATTATTACAGAAAATTGCATTGTTTAATGAATAATATTGCTATAATATACTATTGGAACAAGAGTGGCTGTTGATCTTATCATGAATATAGATAGTTTAACCTTGAGTGGTGCAACAATGTGGAAGCCGATGTTTTAACATCTTTTCATTCCGAATAATATTTCTTTCAGCTTATCACAAAAGTGTCTTTATTTCTGGTGCAGATTGAAGGTAATAATGCAAAAGCAGATGATGCAATCATGCTTGACAAAGATGGTTATTTATCTGAAACCAATGCAACAAACGTGGTATCCTGTCAAGTATCCTTAACTGTTGAAGTTTCTTCTCTATTTTGTTAATTATATATGCTAGGGCTTGCAATGTCGTTAGGTGGCTCTTGAAGTTTTGGCCCTGGGCAATGATTTATGCACACCTTTAAAACTAGAAAAACAATCTAAGCACGGATAATTTTGGATTAATGATATATCTGTCAACTCATTATGTAGCTTATGAAAAATGATCTCCCTATGCGATTAAACAACACAGAAAATATGTTGGTTGATGTTCATTTGCTCTGTAAGCTTATTAAGCTCAAGATGGTAGAAAAATCCTGTCAAATCTCATTACTTGAGAACTGAGAAGGATTGTATGATTTTTATTTATTTATTTCTCTTGCAGTAAGGTTTGCTAACAACTGAGAGTTGAAGACTGCATGGACAATTCAACTAATATATTTTTCTACCTTGTATAGTTCATTGTTAAAAGGGGCCATGTCTTGACACCGCATGCTGATTATTGTCTTCCCGGCATTACTAGAGCAACTGTAAGTTGTATACATTCACTCTTTTTTTGTATGAATTTATATTTCATACTTGTATATACTATACTGCTAGAATTGGGAGCCCTTTTCTGTTGCTTTAATGTATTAGTAACAAGGAGCAAGTATAAGTAACAATAGTAACATATAATAATAGATTTTTAATGTATGAATGCGATATGGTTAAACCGAGAGAATTTGAAAATGAAAGCATTTAAGGTGTTGAGCAATGTGATGTATTTTAATGGTAGGAGACCCAGGATTAGTAAACCACTTAAATATGGGTATGGTATGACATGAAAAATTGCTTATCCATTTTTAGAATTGTCATGAGATTAGAATGTATTTTATTATATATTATATATATGTTGTAATGCCAGCATAAGATGGCTCGTATACACCATTTTTACTATTGGATTCAGCATCTTATTTTATTTATTAGTAAGGGCAGCATTTTGTTAAAATAAATTTTTTTTGAAGAAAAGTGGATAGATAAATATTAAAGTTATATTTTAGCCCGTGTATTTCACAGGCTAAATGTTTATTATATATAACTAAACTTTATAATAATTATATATACAAATAAATATAATATGAATATATAAGTTATATTTAAAATTTGTATAAATAGATATTTT